TGAATCGTTATTTATTTAATTATTAAATGAAATATAGAATATACGAGTAGCAATCATTCAGCAGCGCGCAGCAGACAACTGACTTAATAGCCTCCATTACATAACACTTACTTAGTAACAATGCGCAGTTAAAAATATCAAATATTATTTAAATGTATTTACTTTGTGTATGAAATATCAAATAATGCACTTTTCAAAATTATACATATAACAACGGTTTCTATTATTTATTTACGTTTAAAAATTGTTGTAAATAATCCACAAAACCTCTAGTTCCTTTACCGAAAGTTTATTTCTTTGTCTTAATGTACATATATATCTATAAAGAAAATTGTGTTGATTGGTTAAGGCAAGTAACTCGTATCACTTTACAAGTACAAGTATTAAGACTAACTTCTCTAAAATATTTTCATCTATTTCAAATTTCAATTATAAATATATATTAAGGATAGAAATGACAAGCAATGATAAAAACGTATATTCGTGTGACAATTTCCATGCATTTTCGAAACTAAATAGAAATATACTGTTGCATTGTACAATGGACAGACATGGATGTGTCAGTTAGAAATATCTCCGGGCGCAGTGTTTTTACATTTTCTGTTGTCGTTTAAACCGAACGGGACTTTGCGGAGGATTCCACTGGTTTTGATAGATAGAGACCGCATGAAAGGAAATGAATAAATTACTAACTTACAAAGATAAAGAGAAACGTGATCACTATCTGTTGATATTTACAATATAAATAACTCGCAATAGGGACATTGCATTTTGGTACATTGTAATTTATATGTATAAAATTGTATTCAAAGCCACTCCAGTCGCGGAAAATAATGTCTTCGACGATTCATAAGGCGTGAATTCCATTATAACAGTAATATTGGCCTTATGTATTTCTTTTTCTTATTTAGTAGAAGGTGTCATAAAATAAGCAGGCAGACGAGCAAGCGATGACTGGTTTCGGTAAATGCTTCAAGTTAAAAGGTTGCAAATGGTCTTTCCAGTATGAACTAATTAATTAAAATCAAAATTAAAAGCTACGTTTGTTGGCGCTTTAATCTCTATGAATGAAGTCAAATGGTTAACCATTATAAAAGGAAAATTCTATGAAAGAGAAAAGCGATTTGTACTCGTATAAGTTGAATGAAAAATACTAGAGTGTATTGCTTACGATAATGTTCTCTTGTTAATTTAAGGTTATCTAATGTCAAAAGTCGCTGTTAACACAACGCGGTCAAAACATATATCCATTTTATCACAGTATAGTAGACCTTAATACTATGCAATAAGTATTATATTCATATAATGAAAATTTTTAACTGTCATTAATCCTAATAAATTTCCACGATGTTATGACCTTAGTTTCTTAAAAATTGCAATTTAACAAATTTATTATACCAATTATTTCAAGAGTAGAAAAAGGAAATTGGAACCTTTATATTCACTTTATATTCCTCAGCCACTTTGATAAATAAACATTTAGTGCATTAAAAAAACTTCGATGTCGCAGTTATTCTGAACCACTTTCTGTTTATTGTTACGTCCGACATAAAACTAAAAGGGAAAGGCAAGGGAAAATGTCGAGGTAGAGCATCTCAGGGCAAAGGGAACAATTACAATGAAGCATTACGTTAAAATAACATATGAATGCTTACATTTTATTAACAACTAGAGATAAAGTCAGTGAATTAATGTTTTATTTGCAATAGTTGCTGAAGTAGGAAACACTCCTTCTGCACAATTATATTGTGATTATTTGTCAGCATTTTGATTTGATCGTCAAAACTCTGTTTATCCTTCTCGGTTAACGGCGTGAGTTTAGTTGTTGAGTGTAGGTTGTCAACGAAATTACCTATCCGTATTAACATAACATTAAACTACTATTTACATATACATATATCTAAATAGATGCGCAAACGCTCATGTAAATATTTTTATCACATAATATTTCGCAGTCATCGTTGTTTAGAGGCGTTCTGATAAACTCGACACACCATTTGTATGTCTGATAATGATCGATGTCGTAGTCCTCCGATCACCATCTTACTGCTTACCTTAACTCTAACTAATACTATAAATGCGAATGTTTGGATGGATGTATCAATTATTAGGAGTTATCTCTCCAAAGGCTGCATAGATCTCGATTAAATTTGGCATAGATGTAGAACATGGCCTGGAAGATGACATAGGCTACTTATTAAGTTTTTATAGTTACTTTATGATCAATTTAAAACAGTTTTAAGTAAGGACTACAGTGGGGAGAGAAAGATAGTGAGAGTGACTTAAGTATTAATTTGAGTAGAAATATTTAATGCAAGTATTATAAATTTCGTTGAACACAAATATCATCAAATGATATAAGACAGTACAAGGCCAACAGATATTCGTACTTCTTAGTTTCTTGATATACTTCGATAAGACATATTTTATCGAGGCTGATATATGTATATATAACCTTCTACCAATCTATATATATATATATATATATATTATATTATATATTGAAGTAACTCAAAAGTATCTTCAAGAAATCATAAAGTCAATGGTAAATATTAACAATATACATGAAACACTGGAATTTATTGTAAATAAAGACAGAAAAGCAATATAAAGTGAAAAAGGTCTATTTGCGTTTCGGTAAGATTACTCAATTACACATAATTTGTTCTTTGGCGAAGACGGATGACTCCCGCGGGCCGCTGCTGGTGACTCACCTCACTCGCACAAACGACGCTCACCTCACTCACTTACAAAATACCTAGTAGTCAATTTGTATTGATTTTTTCTAAATAATTTTGTTTCACAAATAAGTTTTTTTAAATGTTATAACTTTCTTAAAAGCTATACTTACAGAGCAATGTGTTATCATGATATAAAAGTTTCATGTGAGTTTAACTACCATAAAATGTAAGTGAGTAATGTTAAAGTTTTGTATTTGACTCTAAAGGATATCCGTCAAAGTAAGACTTATTACACAAAAACATTGGAAAGATGTCACAACGTGTTATATCGTTTATATAAATATAAATAATTTGCTGGACATCTCTTCATTATGATGTGTATTTTGTCAAAGTCGGCAATTCAATTAAAAGCGAGGGTGGATCGTGGAGCGCGGTAAGTGTGCCCTGAGCTGCCGAGTCCCGGTGCTTGCCCAATCAGCCCTCTCGATCAGGGTCGCACCGCCTAATGACCAGCTCGTACCGGCCCGACCTCGCTTCATTATACTAAATTAATCATTTCTTATACTTACGTTAATATTTTGCGTTCACTTAATTCATTTGTGTGTTTATCATCTTTTGCTCGACTGACAGACGAATGTAACATTTTTCTTAAACTATGCTTGTTCATTTCATAATTTCGTTACCATAAATTTTACTTTGACCACTACTAGTTTTAATATTGCGTATAAAATCCTCTCAGAAAACTACATCTGCCCCAGTATGTGTTTCACTTCGCGCAAGGTATCACCGGCGGAAAGCCGCGCGCTCTTTTATTTTGGCACAAATAAACGACTATTTGCTCCAATGTTCTATTAGATATTTTAGAAACATAAAAGTCATTTGAACATATTAAGAACCAAAGTAACTCGAGGGACGCACGCAAATTAGATCAGCCTTTTCCTTTCGAGTCGCTTTCTGCTCGCTGTCCTGTTAACCGCGTGTAAAGACTCCGTCTAATTTTTTAAAATTAAAATAAGCTTTTACAAATTATATGGCAATAATATTGGAATAAAGAATGTGTCTCATTGTTACTTCTCACGGCTGAGCGAATTTGCAATAACAATCTGTCTCAGTAAACATCACAAACTGCCTCCGCAAACAATTTGTACTTTAATTCCGTAACAAAAGCTCCCCTTCTCATGAGCCACGCATTTTTATATGGAAACGTGTCGCTGAATAATATTCTTTTTATGTCTTTCAAACATATTAATATATGTCGTCTCAGTAGCGTATATTTCCAAGACGAGACACGTAGAAAAAATTTGTGTAACTTTGTATAATATTTCTTGAGTGACGATAGGGCAATGCATATTTTTTCGCTGTATCGACTCAGTTCCTACAAATATTCCGAACGCCCGAGGACTTGCGTATGTACGTGACGAATAGAGATTGAAAAAGTTTCGCAACAACACTTTATACCTCGCATTCTTCTTGTTTATGGATTTCAAACTCTTTGTAGGTTTAGTGTTCATATTCGATAATGCAATTTGTGTTCTTGATAACAATTTTAACACAATAATGAAAAGAAAAATATTCTAAGAATGGTTAACTTGACTACAATTTACAAGATACAAATGTATGAAACGTGATGTTTGACTACAACTAATGTGGTTGCAAGCAGATATATTTATTTTGAAGCTATTATTTATGACGAATAATTTTGTTCCCTGTGTATATGTACGTGTGTATGGCGCAAACTTTACTATCTGTATGTCGATGTCGACGAGTCTCCTGCGCTTTTAAAATATTACTTTTATGTGAAAACTCGGCGTTGATTAATGTCTGTATTCTGCTCCGACATGTATTAATATTACTGTTCGCAATTCAAGGTTTATGAGCAAAGTAATGTTCGTTTTGTTGCGTTTCATTTTTTTTAATTTTTCTGTGTCTGATTTTCTCTTCGCTATTTTTTAAGTAGCGTAATAGAAATTTATTTTTATTTGAAATGTTAACACAATACTGTTTGTGGTCATCTTATAGTGTTTATAGTGTTTAGAATAAAACTGATTTCTTTACAAATTAACATAAACTTTCGCCTTTTTTGTTGATGATTTGATGCCCATGTTGAGGCGGTTTTAAAACAACTTGTCATCCGCCATTTAGTAATGGCGGGCATCCTAGATTTATCTACTTACCAAACTGAGGAGGAGGTGGAAAAATATCTTCGGGGCAGCGGCCATACTTGATTTACAATAACACTGAATATAAATAATTACATTATGATTGGGACCAAACGTGTGTACCAGATTTTGAAAAATCTGACATCGTAAATTATGGGTCTAATTTTATACAAAATATTTATTTAAATGTTAGTGGAAATTAAAATTATAATTCGTCACTTCCCTGCCGTATCCAGCATAGGATTACACTCTTCAACATTTGTGGTATTCTTTTTTTGCGGTGGGTCGTTCCATTCAGCTCGCTCAGCTGTCCCACAAATCAAATAGACAAGATTGGAAACAAAATATATACCAGCAGTGACGAAGAATACCTTCCTCCAAAGATATTCACTTGTCTGCAACATAAAATAGTGTGGTATTAGAGAAAAAGAAAGTAAAAAAATAAACTTACTACAACACGCTGTAGACAGCGAACGATGTCTGAAATTAATATCTTAAAGACATTGCTATTAAACCATGCTCAGGCGCTTCTATACAAACCAATATTCCAATGGTAGTTTGTTCTACTGCAATACGTTTAACTGCGTATTATGAGGATATATGAGATATATGTACAATACCTGGTCAGTCTGGTCAGGGTGTACGATATTCAGGAAATTGAGAGACGTAAAGAGATGGCAACTACGATGCAATACTCACAACGTCTGTCAGTATGAAGGCGTTCACGATGGGTGCCAGGGAGGCGCATAAATTAGATATGAAGTTGCTAATGCTCATCAAAGTGCCAGAGAAGTTCGGCGATATGTCGATGTTGTTCACCTGAATGTTTTGAAAAAATATTATAATTGTCACATTTCTACATTAGTGGATTTTGATTAAAATGTACATAAAATAGATTCATAGTTCTTAAAGCTATTAACTTTATTCGCCATATCCACATTCAAATCGAATCGATCAAAGTAAAACACTTCAAATTTTTGCCTGTGATTAAAATGCAACGAATAAAAAAATTTCTTATAATATCGCAGTAGTAAATCCAATACTCACGTAGACTCCCGCGTGAGTCGCCACTTTGAGTCCGACAAGTACCACCAGAACACTTTCTACGATCACTAATTTCTTTGGCACAAACGCCAGCACGATCAGACCAATTGCAGCTGAAAGGCTACCTACAGCCAAATTATTAATTAAGTTGGAAGAACACATTATTCTAAGAATTTCACGTTTTTTTAGGCAAATCTAAGCAGTGATTAGCTAGAAAATAAGATAAATTACCAACAGATGTAGCAAGTTTCCTCGTGTGCGTTACACTGAGTATCTTCTTGACGATCAGTTTGTCAGCAGCCCAGCTAAAGAAGAAGTTGGTGAACCACATGACAAGGAATGGCAGGGCAGTGAGCATGCCGTTCTGCATTAATGGTGAACAATTGTATTTTACAATAATCATCAATGTTGCTATTATTTTTTTAAAATTTATATTTAACTTTTTACCGCTTTAATGTTGACCCCCATGACTTTATCCATAAAGTCCGGCAATTCTCCGTATAGAATGAGCTGGCCCCACGCCTGCGCGATGTGGGCCGCTACAATGGCATACATACCGCGGTGACTCAATATCTTACGCCACGGAACTGACATCGCTTTCTGTAATAATCATGCATATCTCTGTTTTGGAAAATTTCCTTACGAGCATTGTTACCAGCATGTACGAGGGAAAATTTACCTGTGAGTCATCACTAGAGCCTATATCATTTTCAATATATTCTTTCTCGCTGTATGATATATTAGGATGTTTGGCCGGCGTGTCGGCCGTCAGGCACCAGATTAGCGCGCCTACGAGCGCTGCCAGGACTCCGTAGAAGCGGAACACGCCGGGCCAACCCACCGAGGAGGACGCGATGAAGCCTGTCACTGGAAGACCCAACACTGGCCCTAAGGCATGCCCTGGTAAAAAATGTTTTAAATTAAAAAATTAAAAAGTTCCAACAAAAAGTATAAATCAAATATCACAAGCTCCCATTAACTCACCCCCATGCACCCAGGCAGTTAGACGGCTCCTCTCTCTCAGCGGTGTCCATTTACCGAGCAATGTGTGCATGCCCGGCATGATGCAGGCTTGACTCAAGCCCTGCTTTATCCTAAACACTGCGACCCATGCCCATCCTCCCTGTTTCAGACCTTACGATTAGAGTAGTGCATAAAAACACAAACGACACCAGGTCGATCGACTTACATAATATGCGGCCCAGGGCAAGCAGAACGAGACGAGCGCATTGACGAATAGGGCGGCGGCAAGCAGGCGGCGCGCGCCCACGCGGTGTGCGAGCTGCCCAGCCGGCACCTGCAGCACCATGTAGCCCCAGAAGAACGACGCCAGGATCGCGTCCTGTGTCTTCTTGTTCCATTTGAATATTGGATACTGAATAGAGCGAATAGGAGATTGTCCTCGATATTCATCATTGTTTCAAATATGGAAAAAAGTTTTTTACTGTATAAATTTGAATATATATTTAATCAACCTTAAGACATATTATAACTGGATGTTAATAGATGGACTATATTTAACAAAATTTACTTACCGGATAAGTAAGCAACAGTGCGCTCAAGATACCATTAACTTTGTAATCACTGGCATTGTAGCTGGTGAGATTTGTATGGTTGTAGATAGTTGCACGTGTTGTACTGCTCGTTGTCATTGCAACGAGTGAGACGCCCATGCAGGCGCGCATGCTGTAGCACGTCGTCAGGCATAAGAAAAGGATGACACATTGCTGGTGTCTGTACCCCCAGCCTAGTAAAAGCAGTTTACGAATATAATTCATCACTAATGTTCAATGATTAAAAGCTAAAATACAAATAAATACTTGAGTAAAAAGCTCACCTTCCAGCTTGCCGTCCTCGGACCTGATCACTGCCACTTTTTCAACGTCATCCCTGGCGTCACACTTCATTGTCTATCGTTTTTCTGTTCCAATATAATTTCACATAGTCATTTTGATGTTCTATTCCTATGAGTAGCAAATATATTTTGATTGCGTGCCTAATGATGTTGAATTATTTTAAAATCTTGACAATTATTGTTTATGATGTTGGGGATAAGTTATAAAAGAAAACGTTTCAATATTACAAACAAACGTTACAATGTAAACAGCGCCCACGACCAATAAGAATTCGGGTCTGTTTTTACTTCAAACCAATTGAACAAACACCGTTTAATGACAATTTACTCTCACATTGTTCTCATACATAACAATTAAAATATTGGAATATATATATATATCTTACTTTGAAATAAATATTATGTATAACATTAAAATGAAACAAACATATATGTATATAGAATAGAAGTTTTATTATATCTACATCAAAGTCATTTTGCTCTCACTAAAGTGTCAACTATTTACAATCAGGTACAAAAATGAAATGAAACACTTTTGATTCCTTCAAACAACTTTCTCTGTTTTCTTTTCCGAAGTCATATCTGAAATTAAAGTTTCTTTGGTCAGCTTTATAATAGAATTTTCTGTTTTGTATCTAGATATTATATGGGAAAATAGAAAGCAACATTTTAGTTACAAATCATTGCTATGATTATTTGTTTAAAAACAAATAAAAAATAAGTGCTAATTCATGACCACTCTTTTAATTGAATATTAAATTGAATCGGAAACTTTATTCTTATGATATTTTTTTCAATTATTCTATCACTCAACTAGTGTTTGTGAAGAAGAAATAATTGTAAAGCATACCATTAGGAGCGACTTTGGAATCTTCGAGGGGCTCGTTCCATTCCTGGCGCTCACTGGTGCCGAAGATGATAAAGAAGACGTTGGCAGCGATGTAGATGGCAGATGACACGTAGAACACTTTGCGCCATTCGTTTGGATCCGTCTGGAAAATACAAATAGCAAATATTATTATTAAAACATCTGCTCATTGCTTATGCTTGGTAATTCAAGCAATAAATACTAAAATAAACATATTGAAGAACTGACCTCATCCTTTAGTATGGCACCGGCGGCGAGCGGGGCGATAATGGAGATGCCGTTGGCTAGGCAGTTCGTAATGCCCATCAGAGTGCCTGCGAAGTTCGGCGCCATGTCGATGTGCACGATCTGCAAAACAAAAAACGCTAACAATGTTTGTGATTTTGAAAAGACTTCTATTCAGTTGTGCTCGTATATCTTAGAAAAATCTTTACTATTGTACATATAAACATGTGTAAACCAGACTGACCAGGAATCCAGTGTAGTGTCCGGCATTGAGGCCCACGACGACGGTGAGCAGCGCCACAGCGAGCGTGATGTTGCCCGCCGGCACGTACGACAGACCCACTAGCGCCACCGCGGGACCGAACAGACCTGACGCACACAACATATGCAACTACTACACACACTTCATTACTTACACTTGTCATTCCAATCGAGAAAAAAGAACATAAGGTAGATAATACTGGAAAAATAAATCAAAAAGAAAATGTGTTAGAATGTAAATTTACCAATAGAGTTGGAAAGTTTTCTACAAGCGGTGATACTGAGCCACTTCTTCTTGAGGATGTAGTCCGACATGAAGCCCAGCGGGAAGCTGCACAAGTACATGGCCAGGTAGGGCAATGCCGACATCAAACCGTTCTGTAAAATGTATAATAAGAAAGTACATAAAACTATGTCAGAAGATACAAAACTCAAAATTATTATAATTAAATTGTACTTGAACATTTACAGATAAATAAAATATGTCATCACTTGAGGTCAATAGTCGTTATTTCTTTATTTATTTATGTATTTACATGAAACACTTCCAGCTACAAAGTTACAAGATAGTTAACATATAGCTAGTTACAAGTCTATATTGTGATGTCATTAATCATATTGCGCGCTACTAGATACATACCGCCTTGATGTCCACTCCGAGCACCTGGCTCATGTAGGAGGGGATCTCCGTCATCAGGGTCCAGAAGCCCCAATTCTGGCCACAATGCACCACGATCAGGGAAATGAAAGATAGCGATGTCCAGATTTTCTTCCACGGCGTTTTTAGTTTCTGGAAGAAAGGCAAAATTTTACATATCGTTTTTTTTTTCTTATGTGTTATTGTGGTGTAAAGTGTAATTAGGTATTATTATTTACCTTCTGGACACCGACATGTCCCAAAGAGGTCTGTATGTAAAGTCGCTCTTCGGCACTAATCATCCTGGAGGCCTGGGGAGAGTCAGCACCGAGGAAAACGTAAATGACGGTCCATACGGCGCCCAGGGTTCCGTTCACGTAGAAGATGGCGGGCCAGCCCCAGTACTCCGCGAGGAAGCCTGACGCCATCAGCTGCAACGCCGTGCCGAATTGGCCGCCTAAAGTCACACATCGTTCATGAAATTTAGTCACTAACGTCAAGAAGACAATCTATTTTGTTTCAAGTTTTACATTGCAGGCAAGCATTGTAAGCGACTTACCGGCATAAATCAATGTGCCGAGGCGACTCTTCTCCTCGAGTGGCACCCACTTGCCGATAAGGTTGTGCATGGAGGGGTAGAGGAAGCCCTGCGACAGACCTTGTACCACGCGGCACGCGCACACCAGCTGCCATCCACCCTGGACACAGAAACAAAATCACTTTAATGTCTTTAATTCTACTGGCTCACGTCATGTCCTGTCTCTATATACTAAAGTTAAAACGGAATTCCGTTTGTAAAATATTGTATTATGTAACAACAGGAGCTGCGGCAAACTTACATAGTGGGATCCGATAGGGATGAGCAGGGAGACGGCGGAGTTGATGGCGATGCAAGCGGTGATGAGCAGCATGCCGCCGTAGCGCGCCGCCAGCTCGCCCGCCGGGATCTGCAGCACCACGTAGCCCCAGAAGAACGACGACAAGATCACCGACTGCGTCTGCATGCTCCACCCGAACGACTGCCAACGTCACGTCACATCAAGTACCAAAAGAATATAAGCGACTTGTCTCAAATCTTTTGGACCCCGCCGCGCTGGCGGTACATCAAGATTAAATTATAAAATTTGCAATTAAGTTTGAAAGATTCAATCCAGTTTTCAAGAATTTCAGAAAAACAAGTAAATCACAATTATTTTTTTTAGATGAATTTAAATCAGAAACAAAGGCCGATATATATGTAACTAGTGAATACCTAGAGAATAACCATTTCCGCTTGTACATTAAAATAAGTCTGTAATATTACAAACGATACCCCCTAAGTGAAGTCCAAATACCCCTGAGCGGCAACCCTCATAAATCTCCGAGGGCTGCCACCGGGACAACATTTATCTGATAATGTAAGTAACTTCCGCGCCAGAAGCCGGAACTACAATTTAGTATCGACTCACTTCTCCACTTGACAAACTCTATAATTGGATTTTATACTTTGCAATTCCATATCAAATAAAATATATATATACTTATTTAAATATATGTAACCTTCGTTGTAGTCGAAATTTACCATTTTGAGTACTTGGTGTTAATTAATATTGACTACTTGTTAACAATAAATCAATTGAAATACTAAATAAATGTATGTAGTATAAATAAATAAATGTAATAGTAAATAACGAGATTCGAGATGATTGGTACGCTATCGGTCGATAGCTGTGGGCCATTACATCGCACGATAACGCGCACGAGACACCGCCACCACCGCACCACCATTGCGTGGCCGCCCTGCCTGTCGCGACTCGCCACTCATACTTCATACTTATTTATTTAAACTCAAATAATAAACACAATACAATAGATTAATTATCTCGGTGAGCTACATAAATACTATCAAATATTGCATTGCAAATCGTCATCCTTGACCGGCTGAGACGAAATATAGATAGCGATGTTCTTTTTGTCTTAGAAAACATGATGCGTGTTAGAGCTAAGTTTTATGTAAGATTTTGCAATCCCATTGTTTATTATCTTCAGCGCCTGCAGATATGTAACTAGCAAAATATTTCTTTATACGTGACTAGATTTCATTTCGATAGTCTATTATTGATAAAGTTGTCATGAGTAATCTGTCACAGCTGAGATTGTATTCTTTAGAAATTATTTAACCTTATCAGGTTCTAGTGCTCAATATTTTTGATCGGTTGTGATCAGATTTGACCGCCCCGTCAAGATATATGTGACATTATGCAAGATAGTCCTCGAGCTTGCTAAGTCGAGTGGCACGTGAGAGACGAGCATCGAGTGCCAACACATTGCGCGTCATCATCGCGAGCCATCGAGATAGCATCCTCAAGTGGCAATAACACACGCATCTAAGATACAAAAGCTAAACAACTCTTCTATACATAATATCACATCAACTCCAATGGACGATGTCATGTTACATGCCAAGTTTGCCAAAATGTAAACATACCAAAATGTAAGTACAGGATAAAATAAATTATTAACCAACAATCACTGACTACAAATATTGAGAGAGACTTCTAAGGTGATACCGGTAGAACGGAGAAATATTAGCTTTAGCATAAACGGTCTGTTTGCTGTAGCAAGATGAAAATATCGTTCAGTAAACTCAACTGAAGAAAATGTCGACCTACACAAGTAAAACTTTAGTTTTAACATTAAAGTAAAAGTAACATAATCATAATTACTTTTCAAACCTCCGCAAATTTTTCAACGTTTCACAAATTATCTTAACAAATATAGTATACAAGTACTTACGTCCTCCTTTGTCTTGTCAGTCATGGCGACGATGGCCATGCTCATGTTCACCCGCATCGCAAACGCCAGCACCAGCGCGAAGAATAGCATCACGCATTGCGCGTGCCGCACGCCCAGCGTTGATCCTGCAACACAATACAACAGTAAGTGTACTGACATTGGTGACACGGTGTAACACAGAGGGACACCGAGAGTGATGGCCACCGAACATTAGGAAACGAAGCAATTAGGAAGAGAGAGAATGTAATCTTTCTTTCCATTTAAACTTATTCCTTTTCGGTACTTGCTTCATCTCATTCACTTTTACTTTTTGTTTATAATTTTCATTACAGCAAAAACAAAAATAAAAATCAATTTATATCAGACATTCAAACATACACAAGAGTACACGCACACACAAACACTTAAATGCGCGTTGACTCTGCAAATGTTATTTTAATTAATTTTTCCTTGAAGTTTTTACTTGAACATATTATATTATTATATTTACTTTATCTCACATCTAGAGTAACCATTATGCGATGTTATTATTATTGCTACAAACAGAACAATAGGATTTTAGCGGTTTTATTTTACTCGGGTCTACTTAAGTTCAAAAAAAGTATTTTATTATGTGTCGCAAAGATAATATTAGTTTACGGCGATCGTGTTTCTAATATTTCTTCCGCTATTAAAATTTCAGGCTACCAAAGTTCCAAAGCCAAATGAGAAAGTTGTTTGAAAGTTTGCGAGAGACATATTACCTGTAGGTACGTTTACGTAAACAGCGGCCATATTGAAATCACGGCTTCATGGAAAAATAAACACATTACTTATATTCTAGAGTTAATTTATTTTCCTAGTAATTCTTTGCAATCTTCCCACACTTTTCTATAACATAGCTGCGTTTTATATCTCTTGCTTTTGTTTTATAAATCCTCAAGTTTATATAACACGTAGCAGTTGCAGCTCGTTTTGTCTTCGAGTTGTGAAACATGTAACATACGACGGTTATGTTTATACACAACTCTCCGCCGCGGCCGCCGCCGCCGCCGCCGCCGCCGCCGCCGCTCATGTTAGTCTCTCGATGGATTTCCGCAAGGAACGTAATATTGTATACAAGGTTAGAATAATCAACATTCCATAAAGGTTACATCTGATTTATAGATTACCCCCCCCCTCCCCTCCCCACTTCCCCCCCCCCCACTCCTCGACACTTCTTCACTAATCTAATATTAATATGTTAAAATGTTTAATGTTTATATCAAAAGTGCAGGAAAAAGTCCACGTAGCCGAGATTTTAGTGTAAGTGGTTTTTGAAAAGCGTGATCTGGATTCGATACCCATGAGAGGAAAACGACGCAATGATTAGGTCGCAATTTAACTATTTTTATATAAGTTATTTTGTGTTCTATCAAAAAAAAACAATGATTGTTTTAGACAATGGATTTTTTTTGGTAAATTATTTTATTTCCTGCATTTTATACCGACTCGTGTATAAATTTATTCCGTATTACTGTGCAATGAGATTTACTTGTTTGTCCACAATATTTTTGTTTGAATAATTTAAAAGACAGTTTCTTCTGTCGCGTATAGTTTTAGTAAAAGTTAACAAACAACATAGCATATGTAAATAAAATATATAAATCGTACGTGCCTGTTGCCCATTTGAAACGACGAGGAAAATGTTTCAAAAGCATTTAGGTACCTGGGACTGGAGCGCGTCGCCTTACCGCGAGTTTACATTCGCAAGAAAACATTCCAATACTATAATGAGGCTTGTCTTTTACAATAAAATAAAATGAAAAAGTAATAAAAGAATACAATTCTTTCGAGTGATCATAACAACTGATCAACCTCTGCCGACCTTTCTGGTTCATTGTCAAACCAAATGGACGGATTCATCGGTTATGCGTTTATACAAATATCTGTTAATACATATACAGGTATATACTAGTCTTTATTTACTAGTAAGGAGTTGTCAAGGTAAACACCAGCAGTTCAGTTTATTCACACTACTATCAGCTACTAATGTGTTCAGATATAGCTGGCCGAGCTGGACATTTAGGTTAAATGTATGTTAATTATCCAGTTATAAGATACGCTTATTAATGAATTCCTTCGAGAGCGAGACAACCATGTCACTGACCTAATGCGAAATATGCCAGTTTGTAAACGGACTAGGCAAAATTTAACATGGATGTAAAAAAATAATGTCACATCAATCATATCCTACAAGAGCAGAAATTATTTAAAAAATGAAAAAAAATGAAAAAAAAATGAAAAAATCTTTATTGTTATACACAAGAAATTCAAATTCAATGTTGACTTGACTCCTTAACTGGGAAGACCTGTACTTAAGGAGAAAAGGACTTCCCATATATATAAATTTAATAATTGTTTGTGTAGAAAAACAAATAATTTATGAATTAATAATTATAGTGTGTGTGTGTGTGTAGGTGTGTGTGCGTTTGTTTGTGTGTGTATGTGTGTGAGTGTGTGTGTGGGTGTGTGTGTGTGTGTGTGTGTGTATAATTATAAGTGCATATGGATGTGATGACTTAGTTATTACGTTGAAATAAATTTTCACATGTGTTATAATCTAACTCCATCAGCCATTCCTTTGTAATTTTTCTTAAATTATACGCTTTCAGGTTTTTTATATTGGACTTTTTATCCAAAATATTATATAAGTAGGGTGCAAGGAATTTAAAATGTTTTGTGGCAAATGTACTTTTAACAGTAGGTAAATTAAATCTATGAATTCTCTTACTATTTGTAGTTGTATTACTATCTTTATTTTTATG